ATGTTTCCCCATTGAGATCTGATTTGTTTTCAAAGTGTTCCTTTAATTTTTTTGAGCAGTGTATATATAATACCCAAAAATCAATGTAGATGTGGGACTTTAATTATACTACTGGTGAGCACAAATGATAGAAAAAACCAAAAATAAATATATATAAACCCATATAGCTTTAATATATGTTTGCTTTAAAACAATAACAATAATAAAACAACAATAAAGCTATACGGTTATCTATATAGTATATTATTTTTTAGTTTTCTATCATTTGTGCTCACCAGTAGTATAATTAAAGTCCCACATCTACATATATTTTTTGTATTTGGCTTACATATCTACCTGACTGCAAGAATAATTTACATGTTTTCTAATAAATGATAGAAACGTATCCAACATTTCAGAATTCCTGAATTCTTCCTGCCCATTGTATTGCTGCTATCTGCTGCCCTCTGATGGCTATTCTGGAGATTTTTTTTTTTTGTTAACCACTTGCCCTCCTGAGGATTTACCCACCTTCATGACCAGGCCATTTTTTAGGTTACGGTGCTGTGTTATTTTAACTGACAATTGCGCAGTCATGCAACGCTGCACTCAAATGAAATTTATGTCCTTTTTTTTCCCCCACACATTTCTCCCACAAAGAGCTTTCTTTCAGTGGTATTTGATCTCCTGTGCATTTTTTATTTTTTGCGCTATAAAAAAAAGACCGACAATTTTGAGAAAAAAAAACTTTTTTTGACTTTTTGCTATTAAACATGTCCAGTAAATTAAAAAAAAAATCAAATTTCGTCATAAATTTATGCCAAAATGTATTCTGCCACATGTCTTTGCTAAAAAAAATCCCAATACGTGTAAATTAATTGGTTTACATGAAAGTTACAGCGTTTACAAATGGCAGAATATATACTGGGATTTTTATTTTACTAGTAATGGCGGCGATCAGCGAATTATAGTGGGGCTGTGGCGGGCATTCTGACACTGGGGGGAACTGACTTGGTGTCACTGACATCCCCAGTGGCACCAATACAGTGATCAGTGCTAAAAAAAAAGCACTGACACTGTACTAATGGCACTGGGCAGGAAGGGGTTAACATGTGGAGCAATCAAAGGATTAACTGTGTGCTGTTTTACTCTGTGCTGTGTCCGTGTGCTTCACTGTAAGCACACTGCTTTGGATGGTTGTGCTGTGTACAGCCATCCAGAGCAGTGTGCACGAGCTGACAGAGAGAACTGTATTGTTTACACACAGCTCTCCTCCCCGTCGGAGATGTTCATGAATCACCGGGTGACCGGCGGCGCGGGTAGGGACCCGGAAATGCAAAACCACGTATATATACGTAATTTTGTACACCCGTGACACCCTGTAGCAATATATCTGCTATAGGGCGGTCGGGAAATGGTTAAAAAAGGGTTTATGTAGGACAGCAATTAAAAGTATTGATGTAAAAGAATTAGCTTTTGCCCAGATCCATCCATTCACAAAAGCCTGGACATGGGTAACTTTTTTAGATTTTATTTTCTACTCTCAAAAATGTAAGCCTAGTCGGAACTCTAACAGCCCTTAGCCTCCATTCACACTTGCATGTTTTTCAGCTTGTTTCCTTACACCTGACTATGCTCAATATGCAGTCTCATTCTTTCTAATCCCAATTGGATTTGCAGCGGTGGAGAGTGTTGAATCTTGCATGGATCTCAAAGTGAGATGTTGTCAAAGCTCCCGACTGACTGTCCCTCGTTTGGAACAAAGTCCCTCTGTCCCTCTTTCTTCCTCATTTGTCCCTCATTTTAGGCTGATCTATATAGTTGTATATAACATGCACCATTTATCTATCAAAAAAGTGTTTTACTGTCCTAAATCTTTCATCCAGTTTCTAAATTGCTGCATATGTAAATTCCAAAAGCTAATAATATAAAGGAATAGTAGTGGTAAAAAAGCACTTGTGGGTTTAACCAAAATTGTTTGGTACAATTCTCCTTTAAAGGGGCATTGCAGGGTGTGTGTCATATAGAAAACAAGCTGAATGGAGGCATAAATGTTCGTGGGTACCACTAAATGAAGTAGGTACTGTCCAGTAACCATAAAAGATGTTATGAAAAAAGAGCAATGTGAACAGAGTGTTCACAAAAAAGAGCGTTTACATAAAGGACAAGGCGGTACACATACACATAATCATGTACTGCTTTTATTAGCAAAATTGCAGTATCAAATAGTTTAATGAAGACTGCACAAAAGCCATCACCTCACCTATAGACAGTGTACACAATACAACCTAAAATAAAAAATAAAAAAGAGACATCATGGCTAGGCCAAAGTACATAGTATGCTGAATGGGCAACGACCAGGGGCGGACTGACCATTTGGAAACCCGGGCACTGCCCGAGAGCCCGGGGTCAGTAGGGGGCCCCATGAGATGCCCCCGGTACCTTTTTCATAGGCTTTTTTGAGTTTGGGCAAGGACACAGGGGCCCAGTGATCCTCTATTGCCCTGGGGCCCCATGAGTTGTCAGTCCGCTCCTGGCAACGACTGAATGTCTTCTGCCAAAATAGCAAACACATCAGGGTGCACCACCGGGATAATTTGAACCAGATGGAATGCAAATCAGTGCAAACAGACCAACTGAATATATGATGAAAATATGCTGGAACAGATATAAATCCAAATCTATCACAATATGTGAATAATCACAGGGACAGATATGGGATAAGTCATTTGGTAGAGCAGTTTCTGATAATCAATCAAGGAAAGCAGAGTCAGTATTCAAAGATGTATGTAGAAGTGGCAACAGAGTAAAGGAACTGACATCAACCTGGATAAAACATCACCTGCTCAGCAAGTTGCTGAAATAAGTATGAATGACTTTGATGCAAGTCATGCAGTGACGATGGCTAAGAAATCCTCGTGGGACCAGTAGATAATTGGTGTAGTGTATCCTCAATGAAAGTGCCGTGTTGTTCAGGTATGGGTGGAGTGTAACAAATCACCACCTGCTTGGCTAGTTGAAGACAAGATCAGCCTTCCAGGCATCAACAGTTCCTTGAGGGGGGTCCACATGGCAGCCGCCGTATCAGGACTCCTATAGGCAGAGCCCTGCCTCCAGAGAGGTGCGCCATCCGTCAGTGGTCTGCACTGGAAAGTTGCTGTGACTCCTCATGTTACCACCCGGAACAAGGTGCTTAGACCCGGTGGATGCGGCCAGCCATGATGTCACTGATGTATGTCGTCATATGTGTGTCATATGCCTACATAATTTTGCTAATAAATGTCCCTCATTCCCATCTCAGAAAGTACATGTACACTCAGTAGCCCTACGATCTAGGACCTAAATTCAAAAAAGCACACAAATGTAACAATACTCCCCCCCCCCCCCCAAAAAAAAGGCCTTAAAATCACTAGGAATACTCTCTGCTCAGTTGTGAATGCAGGCTTTGGCCTCATGTACAAGCCTCAGGCTTCCTATGTAACTTGTGGGCATTATGCTGCGCCCTTCTAAAATACTAATACTAAACGTAAGGGTACTGTCCTTTTCCATAACCCTGTGCCCAGTGGAGTCATGGGGTTCCTTAGAAGGCAGGCAGGAGTGCCACTTTGACCCAGTGAATTGTTAACTATGACTACAAATAAATGCCCATTTACTATGTCATAGAAAAAAGTGTAGCGCCACTCCCGTTGGGGCCGCTGGAAGATGACAGTCCCCAAAGGTTGCCCTGGTCTTGCAAACGTACCGACACCTCTGACATCCTGGGGTCAGACATGGTTCACACAGGATCACACTTGCAATGACACCAAGTTGTAGTAAGGCAATTGAATATTTACTAGACGTTTTTAAGTCAACAGACAAAGGCAAAAGATTGCGCAGCAAATTTTTAGTATAAGCAGATCAGTACCTGAGGACTCTAATTACAGATGTAGAACGAAAGCGAATCACACAGTAACCACAATTAGCCCCCATGTAGAAAAGGAAAAGCGTAGGCACTGCGATCTGGTGCCTGGTGTGTCCGGTACACCGATCGCTGTACGAGACCTCTATGTGAGGTCCCGATCATGTGGTCACTGATTGGCCAATCAGTGACCACATGAATAGGTGTAAGCAAGATGTCACTTCTGACATCATTGCTTACTACATGTGAAATCTGTGAATGATCACAGAGGTCACATGGTACAAGGCTATTCACAACAGCCTTGTACCATGTGACAAGCTGTGACCAATCACAGCTCACACAGTAGTTCTCAATGGCTGTACTGCTAGGGTGACAGTATGTTAAAAAAAACCCCCATAAATAATAATATTAAAAAAATAAAAGAGTAAAAAACATTTTTTTTAAATTATAATTTTTGGTTCTAAACTAATTTGGGTTATTTTTTTTACTAAAAAGATAACTAAATACATTTTGTCTAAGATGTATGAAGAAAGATTATTTATTTGCAAAATTTTATAAGAAAAACACTTTTTTTCAAAATTTGTGGACTTTTTAGTTTTTATAGCAAAAAAAATAAAAATCCCAGTGGTGAATAAATACCACCAAAATAAAGTTTTATCTGTCTCTAAAAAATTCATATGGGTACAGTATTGCATGACCGCACAATTGTCATTCAAAGTGTGACAGTGCTGAAAGCTGAAAATTGACCTGGACAGGAAGGTGGTGAAAGTGTCCGGACTGGAAGTGGTTAAGAATGTCCCTTAGTCATGTGGGTGGGCTATCCATCACTCAGCTCCATCAGCGTGAAGCTTTAATAGAAATAAGAATAGACACTCCCCAACATTTTTAATTTTTTTTTATCTAGGGGTTCTGGATCTGATCAGTGGAGATTAGATCCAGACCCCTACATACAAACGTGCAGCAATAGATCACTTCTAATAGTGATCTACTGCTGGTTCAATAAGCCAGCAATAGATCACTATAGCAGTAATGTATTACTGAGGGGAGACACTGGACACAGCTGTAAAGACTCTATTACATCCTCTATACTTAAAGTGTTACTAAACCCAGGACCCTGCATTCACTTTATCTGTACTCCTAGGACCCTGCATTCACTATATCTGGTCTCCCACAGTACACACAACGAGGAAATGCAATTATTTTAGTAAATATAAACTGATAAATACTTTTTCTCATCAGCAGTTAGAGCAGTCTTGTGACTTCAGCAGAGTGCTGGTTAAAGCTTGTAGGATGAGTTTTCTTTCTGCACTAGGAGGATGTGAAAGTCTTGGCCCTCTGTCTGGACAGTGCTGATTGGCCCTGTGCTGATCACATGCACTCCACCAAGAAAAAAAAACCTCTCTAGCAATACACACCAAACTGTGCATGTGCATGTGAGTACAGATTCAGTCTGTATCAGGTGGTCATTTCAGCAAGAGAAGAAAGGATCAAACAGCCCTTTTTCACAATGCAGAGGATCAGCCCCTTAGGTTCCACAGTGAGTATAACAAGCATGCTTTACTGCATATACAGACTGATTTTAGTAACACTTTAAATGAAGTGCCTTGATGTCACTCTAGACATCACTACATTACTGATGTAAACACAGTGCAGAAGCATTGTGTTTTCATAGATCTGCTACAAATGTTCCTATGGAGTGTTACAGTGCAGCAAGATCAAAACCCAGGAGCTGGTTTGAGTGTTGGATTTTGGTTGTCACTGATAGCTGGAAGTTCCAGTATGAACTCCTGCACCACACTCCTAGTATTTTTCTCCCAGAATGCAAGTCATCCTGTGAATGGAGGAGGGTCAGATGAATAGCGGATCCCCCCTGCTCATTTGCAGAATGAGAACAATGCTAGGAATTTTGTTAATGGATGAGAAGGAAGGAGAGGGTGAAGTGATCCTTCATAGTTGCAACTTCTGCTCTTAATGACCTCAGCACCAGAGGATTCCCACCTCGGGAGGCAGGGGTGTATTTACCACAAGGCAAACAAGGCATTTGCCTAGGGTGGTATTTTTCAGGGTGGCAGCACCGCTCTCTGGAAGAAGGGACAGAAGAAGGGACACATTCGGCATGGGGACCAGGTGGGATCTGAGAGAGGCTGCGGGCTGCTTGACGATGTATGCAGAGCCTGACTCTCAATCCAGGGGATGTCTGGAGCTGTGAAAGTGAATGTCTTTATCTTGCTGGGGGGGTGGGGTGGCTGGTGTATGGAGGGCTTTCTCAGGTAGGGGGTGGAGGGGAGGGGGGGTGCCTAGGGCAGCACATAACCTAAATACATCACTGGTGGGAGGTATTTGGTGTCACTGGAGGGAGGATTTTTACTGTAACCAGCAAAGTTTGCAGCAAAACATAAAATTTGCTTTGCTGGAAATAAATTATTTGATTCATACTGATTGCCCCCCAAATTTCTTTTACTGGAGCTCAGCTTTAAGTTACAGCAACCATACAATAAAGGTTCTTATTACAAAAAATATTCTTCAACCTGTAGCAAATGAGAAGACCATTAAATTAAAAAAAAAAAAACACTTAACACAGAAACAAAAGTCATATACTGTAGGTCTGTATAGTTCAAATAAATGTTCATACACATTGTTGTATCAGGAATGTTTTGTATGTCTTTTACATAAGGATGTCCTCAGACAATCATCAACAGATAAGTATGATGTACATATCTTCCTTTGAGAGTCCTCAAGGGAATTGTGAATTATTCCCAGTTATAATATTAAGTGAGTATGCAAGGACAGCATATCATTATTAAATTCAGTGCTGCATTTTATTAATTCTATGTTGTCCTTGCATGCTTGCTTCTTGATATTCTAACAGGGACTAATTCAATATTCATATTGAATTTAATATTCATATTGAATGTAATATGGGAACTCTGAAAAGAAGATTTCTACATCATACTTATCTATTGATGATCGTCAGGTACAAACCTGTGAAAAATACCTAAAAGATCATTCTGATACAACAGTGTATATGCAAGTTTTTCTAGGCCATAATAATCTAGAAGAGGTTCTCTCAAAGTGTGGCCCTTTTTCTCTTTTGTTTTTAATTTAAAGTGGTCTTTTTCTTCTTGGTGTCAAGCAAAAGTATATTTTTTGCAGCGTGAAATAAAGATTTTTTTTACTTTGCCTTTGTTGTATATAATGGTTGCAATTCCTTAAAGTGATACTAAACCCAGGACCCTTCATTCACTATATCTGGTCTCCCACAGTACACAGAACATGGAAATTCAATTATTTTAGTATATATAAACTGCAAAATACATTTTCTCATCAGTAATTAGAGCAGTCTTGTGACTTCAGCAGAGCACTGGTTAAAACTTGTAGAAGGAGTTTTCTTTCTGCTCTAGGAGGATGTGAAACCTCTGACCCTCTGTCTGGACAGTGCTGATTGGCCCTATGCTGATCACACCCACCCTCCCAAGAAAAACAAAAAAAAACCTCTCTAGCAATACACACCAAACTGAGCATGTGCATGTGACCACGGGTTCAGTCTGTATCAGGTGGTCATTTCAACAAGAGGAGGTTCAGAGGAGAAAGGATCAAACAGCCTTTTTACACAATGCAGAGGATTAACTCCTAAGGTTCCACAGTGAGTATAACAAGCATGCTTTACTGCATATACAGACTGATTTTACTGTTGTGGGCTTTCTTTTTTAAATCCCATATTAACCTCTTGCCTACTAGGGCAAGTTTGACTTTTTTTGTTTACACACGTTAAAATCAGCTTTTTTTGCTAGAAAATTGCTTATAACGTCCAAACATTATATATTTTCTGAAATCAGAGGTCCTGGAGAATAAAACGGTGGCTGTTGCAATTTTGTATGTTACATGATATTTGTGACATCAATGACCAATTAGATTCCATATGGTCCTTCCTCGCAGCACAGGATAGAGAAGAGAGAGAGCAGTAACGATTTCAAATCTTTGGACTGGTGGAGTGGGTGTAGGAGCCCTGACAGCTGAGGATCACTGGTGCTAAGTGCAGCGGTGACCAGGGACTGGGGAGAGGGTCTGGTGTTTGGTCACGTTTACAGTTTCTCTATAAAGGTGAACTAACCCTTTCAACATTTGACATTGATCCAAGTCTATAAATGGTTGAATACATTACATCACTTCTCCAACTATTGCAAGGTCCTTCATGGGTGGTAGTAGGATAGTCTGCCTAGACATCTTGATAAGCCTAGGAATCTTTGCTTCCAGCTTGCAAATAATGGTATGTTCTTGCACAACTACTGTACTTTGATAACTTTGATTAGCTTTTTAGAGATTTTGCTGTTAGCAGGATTCTCAGTGTGATGCTTAAAGCGGCACTCCACCCAAAAGGGGAAATTCCACTTTAAGGACTGCTCCCCATTAAGGATTAGCACCTTTGGGGGGGGGGGGGGGAGCGGATACCCAAATTTGACAGGTACCCGCTCCCACTTCCGGTCCGATCGCCTAGGCGATCAGAAGCGGAAGGTGTCCTTCCTCCCTCCCACCCTGTAGTCTTTTGGGACATGTGACAGGTGCCAGAAGACTACAGGACCATTCATGAAGTGCAGCACTATTCGCGCATTCGCAGTGGGTACCCAGCTGTAATGCCGCATGCTATCACAGCCGGGTGCCCACACTGAAGATGCCGGCCTCCTGGAATACAGGACCGCCGGTGAAACGGGCTGCGGGGGACACACCACGGGACCGAGGGACAGGTAAGTGGCTGCTTTTTAAAAGTCAGCAGCTACAGTTTTTGTAGCTGCTGACTCTTATTTTTTGACAGGGTGAGTGGAACTTTAAATTGCCGGTTAGGTCAAGGCTGTCGCAGGAGTGCAAAATGAAAGTCTTTATCGCTGTTGCTGAACTTCTCTAACCCTAGGCTCACACCTAAGCATTTTTCCGCAGCGTTTTGTATTGTTGTATATTTCATCAGCAACAGCTATACGTTGCACAGTTGTGATCCACACGTTGGGCATTTCTCCTGTTGGTTTCATAAATTTCTTTAAGCTTCAAGAAAGGCTTAACTTTGCTTTGTGTCTAATAGATATCTCTACCTGTTGCCAATCAGCTTACCTTGGGGAAGAGATGGCTGCTCACTATCTATTTTTAAAGGGTTAAATTCACAGATCCCTGTAGCAATATGTTGCTGCAAATTTGGAAAATGTAGTTGGATGTGTGTGCAGAGCTTATGCAGAAACCCAGTGTTTGCACAGAGCAGAAAGTAACACAGTATATGACAGCACAGCAATTCCAGTGTAGCACTACACCCTTAGGAGCTACAAGAGATTTCAGGTCCCTCTATAGTCCTGCACAGCCAGGAAACATGTATCTTCACAGAGGCTTGCTTCCAGAGTCAGAGATCTGTCTTTGAGCTTGATTTTTTATTTTTCTTCAGGGATTTGAACTGGGATAGGGTTGGGGGTGTACAGGATGCCCAAGGCAACTGATGAACTGAGGACAACTTCTTGGAACTATTTACAAGCCTCCACACATAGCACAGTCTCTGTTGGAGAGCTAGCCAGCACCTCCTAGTGTACCACTCCAGACCCTAGATTAACTCCTCTTCCTTCACCTGTATCTAATAGATATCTCTACCTGTTGCAAATCAGCTTACCTTGGGGAAGAGATGGCTGCTATCTATTTTTAAAGGGTTAAATTCACCTAGACCCTAGATTAACTCCTCTTCCTTCACCCATCAATCTGGAGGTATCCCTAAACAGGGGATCTGGGGTCTGTTGCTTTAAGAAATGGACAGTCCCAGTTAGGTGGTAAATCTGGTTTACCACCAGAGTGCTCCTTCCCCTATCTGCCCAGGGGGTGTTGGGGTACTCATTCACATCCTCTCCTGTACCACTGATGGCTGCTACCAGGCCATCTAGCTGGGCCGCTCCTTCCCTGCTGTAGAGGTGGTCCTCACTCTGGGGGCCAGTGAAGCTCTGAGCTTTCTTTCCAGCTCCACTGCCTGTAGGTGGGTTCCTCTCTCCATCTGGGCCCCCTCCCAGGCTCCCGCAATTAGCCTCACATTTTCCTCTGTCTTCCACCCAAACTCTCCCGGAAGATGAACAGGCTCATTTACTGTTAAGAGTTGTCCTAGTCCCTTGCCAAGCCTCCTTTTGGGTATTGGCCAGGATCCCTCAAGGGTACAAACCAGCCGCTCCTCAGATCCACCCTCTGCCACTAGACCTTTCTCCAAAGCTCTAGAGCACGGGTAAATTCCAGAGGGGCTGGCATGCAGAGCCTCTCAGCCCTCAAAACAATTTGACCTTCTGACTTTTGCACCCAGGCTGCTACTCAGCCCTCCTCTCTAACAATCAGGACTCTAGCTCCCCCTAGCTAACTAGGAGGGTGCTACACCTGTAGCAAGGAAATCTGCAGAAACAACAGTCCTCTTCTGTTTCAGATGCTGCTTTTTCAATTGACATACCTCTTTTAGATATCATTTGGCCCAGCATAATCCACAAGTAGTTTAAATAGGTATTAAACTCAAAACCAACATGTAATATATTGCAGTGTACCAATCATTAGATGTGGCTGCATTCGCTTTCTTTTTTAGGCTTTTTCCCTCTATTTTCACCTGGTGATATGGCCAGTAACACAAGTGCCCCCACTCTGAATGATGGAACACAGGGGGACCTTTGGGTGGCAGCATTGTCAGCCTGGGGGAGGGAAGTGTTAGATGTAATAGCAAATTTAGATACACTAACAAATTGAAGCCAAACTTCAGCTCACACTGCAATTACAGCAAACAGTTTTATCTCTTTTGAGATACACGAATAAATAAGAGCTGATCATTGTAAGTACCCTTGTCACTGATAAATGGTTTGTCTTTTTCCTCTAACTGTTACATTTGCAGGAGAGCTTGTTCTGCTGAAAAACAACTCATCAGGTTAAAATAAGGGAAATAATTCAGTACCTAAAAAAGAAAACAAATGCAGCGATTGTTAACCCCTTCCTGCCCAGTGTCATTAGTACAGTGTCAGTGCTTTTTATTAGCACTGGTCACTGTATTAGTGTTACTGTGGATGTCAGTGGCAGTTAGTCAGTTCCCCCCCAGTGTGAAGAATGCCCGCCGCAGTTCTGCTATAAGTCGCTGATCGCTGCCATTAATAGTATAAAAAAATGTAAATTAAAATACCAGTATATATACCGCCATTTGTAGACGCTATAACTTTCATGTAAACCAATTCATTTACATGTATTGGGATTTTTTTTTAGCAAAGACATGTAGCAGAATACATTTTGGCCTAAATTTATGAAGAAATTTGATTTTTTTTTTTATTGGATATGTTTTATAGGAAAAAGTAAAAAATATTGGTTTTTTTTTTCAAAATTGTCAGTCCTTTTTTGTTTTTAGCACAAAAAATAAAAAAATGCAACGTTGATCAAATACCACTGAAAAAAGTTTTATTTGTGAAAAAAATTACATAAATTTCATTTACAGTGTTGCATGACCACGCAGTTGTCAGTCAAAGTAACACAGCAGTGTATCACAAACAATGGCCTGGTCAGGAAGGGGGGTGAATCCTGTGGAGGGCAAGTGGTTAAATTGTTCCTAATCCCTGCCTAGCAAACCATGGCTGTGGTCAAAGAAATCCAAAAGCTGCTTTATTACCAAACACCACATGGTGGCAGAGATGATCCACTTTGTTTCTTTTAGTTGTAAGTTTACGATATGATAAACCCATTGAAAAAAAAAAACAGAAAGGGACTTTTTGGATATTTTCATTTCGGGGACAACGAAATGCTGAGGACACACAGTTGAACTCCAGGCACAAAAACGTTAATTTAAAAATATTACTCATAAAAAGCATATACACCCACTTTGTGAGCACCAAATGCCTTTTCATAGCTACATAGGTACATAGTTAGTCTGGCTGAAAAAAAGACAAAAGTCCATCCAGTTCAACCATGCAAAAAAGAGAGTTATAATCCTATACCACAGTTGATCCAGAGGAAGGCAAAAAAACCCCAGCAAAGCATGATCCAATTTGCTCCTGCTGGGAAAAAATTCCTTCCTGATCCCCCGAGAGGCAATTGGATATTCCCTGGATCAACTTTACCTATAAATGTTAGTATCCAGTTATATTCTGTGTATCCAAGAAAGAATCCAGGACTTTTTTGAAGCAGTCCACTGAGCTGGCCAGAACCAACTCTTGAGGGAGTCTATTCCACGTTTTCACAGCTCTTACTGTGAAGAAACCTTTCTGTATTTGCAGATTACATTTCTTTCCTCCAGACGTAAAGTGTGCCCCCTTGTCATCTGTGATGACCTCAGGGTGAATAACTCTTCACCGAGTTCACTATATGAACCACTAATGTATTTATACATGTTGATCATATCCCCCCTTAATCTCCTCTTCTCAAGAGAGAATAAATTCAGTTCCTCTAATCTTTCCTCATAGCTGAGCTCCTCCATGCCTCGTATCAGTTTGGTTGCCCTTCTCTGTACTTTCTCCAGTTCCCCAATGTTCTTTTTGTGAATTGGAGCCCAAAAC